TCATGTATACTCGATTGCCTGTGTGTTAACGTCTGTACGCAAAACTGGTCATAATTCAGAGTAATTAGAAGAAAGATTAACATAGCCCCGGGTCATCAAGGCCTAATGACAGAAGGAAAAAATGATAATCGAAATTGCGTTAACCCGTAAGTAACCCTCTTTAACTTGGTTGGATGTAGGTCTGTACGTGTGAAAGCCATGTAACGAAACCATCAGTCCGAACCCTTTAGTCTGGGTTATTAAAGTTTAGTGACCCAAGGAAAAGCATGGCTGTGTTGCTTATCCCTGTGCGTCTGCTTTGATTGATAAGCTTGACATGCCTGTCGAACGAATGTGAATTTGGTTAGAACCATTACTAAGCTGACAAATCAAGTCGTCTTTTTTTGGACGGTGGCTCAGAACCCTCAATCAAGAATATGTTATTCTTACTCAACTTTCTACTATCATTCCTCAAATTCAACATATTCCCTAATCTGTTTATTTCAATGGCATCTCTTATCTTGAGTTTCGTAGCAAACATACCATAATCAGCAAACCTCTGCGTACGAGACCATTCTATCTCAATTCCAGTCTCCACATTGTACTTGGCCACCTATGACCGCTCGACTAAGCTGCCTTTACAAGCATTTTGTGCTCCGCTAATCTTTGGCGGATTGGTCGACAGGCCTCACTAACATAAGGTCGACTTCTTCACTAGGTCTTCTATCTTCTTAGAAAGAAAATATGACGGCAAGATTAGAACATGAGAAAGGGTCTCGGCTTGCCTATTTTTGACAAAATAGTCTACGCCTGAAAATTGTTTTCCTCATCAGAGATATATTATTATTAATTAAACCCAAAGGATAATTATTCTCCATGAATAAAAAATTCAGTCTTCTTAACCCTTCGGTCAGATAATTTTGATTCGCAAGCCTCATACTCCTAATAATCATTGATTTTAAAATTTCAACCTTAGTTTTGTAACTATGGTTATAAAGAAAACTAGGAACCAAACCAGCATTTTCTGGTTTCCTATAAACATCTATGCCTAGCTTACCATTTCCTTAATAAGCATTACATCCAAAAAAGGTAATTTCCTATTTTATTATAATTCCATTGTGAAAGTAATATTTATTTCACGCTCGTTAAGTGAAAATATAAAACTAGCTAACCTATCCCTGCCATGTTGTCAGATCACAAAATAATCATCCATATATATCCAAAAAACATTTTATGGGTCAGAATTACCTCTGACATTAAGCGTTCCTTACATTTAGCCATGCTCAGCATGCATGTCAAGCTCATCAATTAAAACTCACCTGCAGGGCTAGACCATCTCAGCCATGCTTCTCTTTTGGTCATTAAACCTAAATACTCTAGTGATGGTTCGACCTTGTTTTTGCAACTTGGTCGGGGCATCAGAGAGACCTTGTGAAGCGTACCTAGTTCCGTATCACCTGCCATTTTATTTGTGATTTCCAGCATGGGACCATTGATTTTCTACATTCATAAATTCTTCGTCAGCATCATCAATGAGAGACGCCATCGTAAGCACAGAGTTACAACTTATCAAAGTGGCAAATAGAGGCAGTCACCTCTCCTGGCGATGATGAATACTATGGCATAGGACACGGGACTAAGTACGTTCCACAAGGTCTCCCTGACGCTCTGATAAAGTTGGAAAAACAAGGTCGAACCAACACTATAAAGCTAAAGGGGACCGCAACCAAACTGAAGGCCACACCATTTTGGTCTTCATACCTACGTCTTCATAATCTAGAATAATGGGTTTGGACTAGTGATTTCATAAGCTGACTTTCACGCGTACAGACTTACATGTAATCAACTTAACCAGGGTTACTTACGGGTTAATGCAATCTCCGTCATCCTGTTTTCTTTTATTTTTTCCTTGGGTCATTAAGCCTTGATGACCCGGGGCTGATGTAACATTTTTTCTAATTACTCTAAGTTATGGCCAGTTTTACGTACGTTAACACACATACACAGAGTAAACATGAATTAACCAAACCTTTAAATATCCATCTATATATTATATTTTGCTTATAATATGTATTTATATCATATAGAACAGAGCAAAACAATCTTCTTGACTAAATTTTAACTTGAGGCTTTTGCAAGAATGAGTTCCAGCTCTGACGATGTTCGTCAGAAACTTTGGAGGATATCCCGTGGACGGCATCAACCTGAACGTTGTATTAATGCCAAACGGCTGCAGTTCAATTAGAATCAGCTGGCGTCTTCTGGTGAGATTGACCTTCGAATCTCTTCATATATTTCCATTATTAGGATAGTAGGTCTTATTGCATCTGTTGAGCGCTGCCTTTTAAATAAAGACAAATACTAGCTTCAGAGTTCTCTTTTATTCAAATATATGGGCTTTACCACTTTTAATAAATCACGCAATTTTGATTGTCATGGCTTTTTATTAGACACTTGGGTGATTGCCATCCTGTTGCAGCCACGATTTAGATTGTTTTCATAAAATAGCTTTGTCACAATTATTTTAGTCCCCGATTCCTTAGTCTTACTTTCTGAATTATCG